GAGGCAGCCAAATTTATTGTCCATGTGTACAGCTTGTTGGGGCAGCCTTGCAGAGGCTTTTTCCTCTTTCTTTTGTGTAAACCTGAATTGAGATTTGATTCTTATACAATGGCAAAATATCATTTTACAAACTCTGACTTGGTGTGTAGTGCACATGCAGGCTTTGGCTTCTGCTGTTGATAGCCAGGGAGACACTGAGAGTCTTCAGAATGAGTTTTAACATTTGTATGCTTATGTGGCCAAATATTCATATTTTATAAAAGATGTTTTGAACTTCAAAATGTTGCCAGGATGTCCGTTGCTGAGGTCCTACAAATTATTTTGGTTGTGCTTTTTGCAGTTTCTTAACAATGAGTGGAACTTTTGAGGGGTGTAATACTTTCTGCAGTTATGCAGCTGTATACTGTAAGTCATGAAGAAACAAGTATTTATTTAGGTTTTTTATTTACACAGAATCTTAACTAAAAAATTAGTCAGAGGTTTAGCAGTTGCCAGAAAGTTAACTCACCATACCTTTTTTTAATATGTACCTAATTTAAACTTCTCATCTGATAATTAAAAAAAATAGCTATTTTTTTGGTCAGGCCATATATTTTTCTGCTGGAACACTTGATATTTCACACTTAATGAAAAGCAGTTTTGTGACTGTAACTTTCTATGGGTCAGTATTATAACAGTGTACCACGAGTGTGTCTGGGATGGAGTTAATTTTCTTTGTAGCAGTCCATATATTCTGCATTTTGGATTAATGGGTAAACCAGTGTTGGTAACATGACCATGCTGTGGCTGTTGCTGAACAGAGCTTGCACAGTGTCAAGGCTTTCTCTTCTTGCTACTCTGCCCCACCTCAGCAAGTTAAGCTGGGGGTTGGCAAGAAGCTGGGAGGGCCCACAGCCCAGAGAGCTGACCCAAGCTGACCAGAAGGATATCCCCTAACGCATAATGTCATGCTCAGCTGTAAAAACTGAGGTAAAGGAAGAAGAAAAAGAGGTGTTTGGCTTTATCTTAACTTTATCTTGACTCAGATGTTTTAGCAATTCTGCTCTTCCTGTTCTCTTCCCTATTCTGCTGAGGCATGGAGTGGGGGTCAGGGGGGAGCGAGCATCTCTGTGGGTACATGGCTGCTGGCCAGACGGGGTTAACCCATTGCAACCAGCTTCAGTTGTCATTGTAATGAGGCATTCAGGTTCAGAATTTAATTATTTCATTCTTTCCCTGTAGTCAGAGGACAGAAATTATCTTTTTCTGAGAACGCTCTTTAAAGGTATTTCTGTTTCTCAGGCTGACAAGTTCTGTGACTTGGTAATGAAAAACCAGATGCCTGTGGGATTTATGGTGGTTACAGGTTTGTGCAGCTCTGAGGCTCTCCCCACCAGAGGGCAGCTAAGCATATCGAGTTGCTAACAAATTGCAGGCACAGCTTAAGAGTCTAATTATTAGTACTGTGTAAAACCTACCCAACACAAGCAAGTGCTATTATACCAGAAGATAGTTTATACCATATTATTTTTCTGCTGAGTGAAAAATAACTAAAGAAATATTGTCAAAACAAAGTTACTAAAGTTGAAAATATAAGGAAAAGTTATTTACAGTGTTATTTTTTAAAAAATATTTGATAACATATTAAGTTTTTTTTCCAATGTTAATTGAGCTAGGGAAACTAAAGCCACGGTGCAATTTCCTTTAAACTAGAACAGTACAGTGGTAGTACTGGGCCAGTCCAAACATTTAGTTAGCTCACTATTTCATTTTTAAGAGTGTGCAGCAGCAGATGCCTCCAAAAAAGTTAAACAAGTCAGGCAAGCAGGCAGCGGTACTCCCTCACAGTGTGTCCCCAGTCTTTGACTATTTGCAGCTGAAGGTCTGCCAGCATTTGAAAATAAGGAAGGTGCTGAAATACACAAATCATCTTTTTTTTCTAAAAGGTGATCCCAGATCTTAAACAGCAAGTTTCTGAACTTGAAAATCAAAAATCAGATCTTGAAAACCGTCTTCAAGAACAGACTGTAAAGTTGAAAGGTAAAACACCAGTATGGTCCCTAGTCTTACAGTTGTTTAAGATGAATGTGATTAATTCCCTATAATTGTATTTTTAAAAGCTGAAGCAATATTACATAACTTCATTGCCTTATTACTTACTTCCTTGCTAGTAAAATGTAAGAAACATGATGAAAAAATGTGTTGTGTAGTTTATCTCTGTTATTAAAGAATAAGATATATGCCAGTATGTGTATTTTTTTCTTTTTTAACCTTTTTTAGGTCATTCAGTTCTATGGTTTGCATGTCTGCAAGTGTATTCAGTAGGTTTCTGCTAAGAATACGTGGATGAGTACACTCCATACATGGAGTATGCCCTTCGGAAACAATGACAAAAGGGAAAGATGTTTTGGAACTTAAGGCATACTCCATGAGGTGGACTTCAGAGGGTGTTGAAAAACTAAGCGTGGGAGACAGAGGGAAAGGTTCTTGCTAAATTTGCTTGCTTGAAATTTCTTCTCAATTTAGGAGAGCATACTTTGCTGAGGTTTCTGAGTCTCTCTAACCATAGTGTCTTCCTAGGCAACTGATTTAAAATTTGCAAGTACTTTTACTGCCAGCTGTAAGAAGTTAGCAGTGTCAAAATTCCCCACGTAATTTTCTGTGTGGTGTGGAATAGTCAGATATTTCTCTGATATATTATCTAGCATGTCATTCAATTTCATTAGATGAAACAAAATTATGAGTGTAAGAGATTTACTGAATACCAGTACAGAACAGTAAGCAAATGTGATTTTTGTTGTTTTTCTTTTGTTTTGGGTTTTGTTGCTAATTATTACTGAAAAAAAAATGAAAGAGATGTCTAATCGGCTGCATTATGAGCTAGAAGGGGATAGAACACAAAGACGGTAAATATATATTTTTTTTTTTTTAATGTAAGAAATGTAGTTGCCATAAGCTGGGGTAACAAAGTTGCTTAAACTCTTTAAAGTACCACATCCAATGTAAGATTTACCTTACAGCCTTGCATACAGTTAATAAGTAATGGACAAGTGTGATACGACTATGCTTTAATGAAAGAAGAATAAGAGACAAAGCTTCCTATCTATCTATTCTTAGAACAAATGAGGCACAGAATGAAATAGACATAAAAGAAAAAGAGAGACTGAAAGTCACAACCCAAGAAATTGAGGGGCTGAGCAATGGTTTGGTGCAAGATGAAATCCAGGATGAAGTAAAAAGCAAGATAAAGCAAGAAACAACTCGGCTTACTGTGGAAAACATGGTGAGGAAATGAAACTGTCATTAAGAAACTGTACCTGAAATGCAGGATAAAAAGAAAGAAATCGGTTTCATGCTATGGGCAGAATGTTTTCTCAATTCATTGGAGGAGAAAAAAGATACGAAGGTTTTGTGTTTCTTCCACCAAATATAAGTAAAAGCACATTGTAGTGCTCTTTAATAGTGGCAATAACATGTAGTAGTAGAAGACATTTTTTTAATTGTGGTTGTTCTGAACTCACTGACTTTGATTATTACAGGATCTTGAAGAAAAACTAGACATGAAAGATAGAATAATAAAAAAATTGGAGGATCAGATCAAAACTCTTACCAAGACTATTGAAAAAAGTAAGTGATTATTTTTTTTCTAAGTAAAGATTTAGATGTTGAGTGTGTGTTTGAAAGAAAGTCTGTTTTAAAAAGAGAAAAAGGTAGGGTTTGGGGTGGGGTTAGAAATTTTAAAACCTCAGAAAAAGGTGCTGTGGAACCATCAATAGAAATTATAAAGCCCTTTCCTGTATTTTTTTTTTTCCAGCTAAATAATGGGCACATATGGGACCTAAACTATGTGATAAAAGATTAAGCCAGGGGCATCAGGTTCTGTCAACAAAAGTTAATTCATACCCTCACACAAACTGCCTCTGAGCCAACAGAATGTTAGTTTTGCGTCAGATGAGTAGCTCCTCCCATGACCTTCAAATGGCAGATGGTTCCTGATTTGAAATTAGTTTGTACAAAGCTCTTGTACAGCAAGTAATTCTTCACTATAGAGTACACTTCAAAACATTGCAGAGGTGACTGATGTAGAGCTGTATTGTTGCTGGTTTTGTCTTATTAGTGCAAGTAATTCCACTGAATCCTGTGAAACTAATCATATTCATAATATAAATGTTACTTAACTCATGATGCTTGGAACCATAAGCTAAGAATGTTATTGTGAACAAAGCCCATACTCTGTTTATTACAGAGAAAACTGTTTTTCTCCAATAGTTTGTTCTAATGTGAATGTTAGCTTAGCTGTTTACCTGCAGGTAACAATGCTTTTGTGTTTGACAGCTGAAACTCATGCGCCAACTTTGTCCAAAGAGTACGTTGGAATGATGGAGTACAAAAAAGAGGACGAAGAAAGGATCATTCAAAATCTGATCCTTGGTATTTTAGTTACACTTTAAATTTTACCAATAGTCAATGATACTCAGTGTAGAACACTACAACAAAAACTACAAGACACTATATTTCACTTATTGCCTTTTTTCTACTCTCTTACCACCAATATGACTTGGAGGCTCTGTATTGCTCTGTTTCTACTGCCAGTAATTTCAAATATAGAAGTGCTTTATCTGCATAAAAATCATGTCTGACTCTACATAATGCTGACTCTATTATCTTTCTTATTATTTATTCACTTACAAAGCTATAATTCTCAAGAGCACTCCAGGGACTTGAATATACTTTCTTCCTGGTTGTCTACTAAGTCTGTAAGTCATTTGGCTTATATCCATGTGTGATGGATTACTCTCCTGTCTGTCCTTCCCATGCCATTCCCTTCACTGAAGGGAACTGTACTTTCATGTTTCCCTTGTAGAGGAATTTTGTCCTCCTTCTGAGTTACCTCACAACATCAATCTTGCTGCCAAACCAGCTTTTGCATTAGTTTACAATTAATACTAAACTCGACAAATTTTCCATGCACATTAGTACCCTTATAAACTACTGCTTGGAAACATCATCTTCCTTTTCTTCTCATCTGCTTAAGCCTTGTGAATGTTTATATCTTGGTGAACAAGGGTGTATCGTTAAGCAATGCCAGAATTTGATGGGGCCCCCAGGGGGTTGTTAAACAGAAAATGCTTTTTGAAGTTGTCCTGTCTGGTGTAGCCCATGCTGGACCTTTAGCATTTGCTACAGTACTCTCCATAGTAAATTCTATAGTAATATATGGAAAACTTAAATTAATACTCTTACATGAACAATGCTGTTCCAGAATTTTTCAGAAACAAGCAATTACCAAATGACTGGTCACTGAAGAAATAAATCCCATAATGCTTGTCTTTTTCAGAATAGTACATTGAATTGTTGAATTTTTTATATAACAAACCTGATGACTCTCCTTTATGCAGATTTAAAGCCACGTGGAGTTGTAGTTAATATGATACCTGGCCTTCCCGCTCACATCCTATTCATGTGTGTGAGGTATGCAGATTATCTGAATGATGCTGACATGCTGAAATCTTTCATGAATGTAACCATTGATGGTATCAAGCAAGTTGTTAAGGTAGGAATTATGTTTGGCTGTACTGTACTTTTTGTTATTTAATGTAAAGTTTACAAGATGCATGCATAGTACGTGGAGAACGCTCACACTTTCATTTGCTAAAATTCTTATAATAGAATAATAATCATTAGTGGCACTCTATTTTAAGTTTGTAGTAGCATCCCTGTAAAGCCTCCAGGCTGAACACAGAATTCATTACCAGAAATTTTTTTTATCTGAAGAGCTTGTTGACAAAATAATTTAAAGTGTTTTACATTTTGTTATGAGTGGCTAATGAGGTGAAGTGCACCTGTGCTTTCAGCACTGGTACAAGTCGGATGGACAGAAAAGAAGGTTAGTATGTTTGGCAGCAGGCAGGTATTGGAATTTTAAGAGGTTTTTACACAGTGGTTCTACTAGTGTAATGTTTTTTTGACATGTCATTTGGTACTGCAGCATTAGTGCCCAAATGATTCAAGCTTTGTTGCCGACCAATTTACAAAATCAAGTTATAAACAAGAATCGTTAGCCTGTTGTCTCATATACATAACAAATTCAGCTATGGGAATGCTTTATTATGGATTTATAATGCAATAAAATACCAGACATGCTTTGTAGCACAGGCAGGAATGGACTATGCTTTATGCAGTTGAATTTGTTGTATAGAGAATGCCTATAGTTTGTTCGTGAACAAATTTATACTGTAATTTATCCATTAGAAAAGCTTGTGCTTGCTTAGCTAACAAAAATAAAACATACTTACACATAGTTAGAAATCTGTTTATATGTAGTTCAGTTTTGTTTGTGTATACAGATGGTATTCACACTTTTTTGCAGGAAGGCCTCCAGTACACTACAACACTATACGTAGAAATGTGTAAAACTGTCTGGTTCAGACTTACCTAGCCAGTCTGTCATTTAAAAATACTTAAATGGTGTTTACCAGAGAAAAGAGGGATCTTTGCTGTATGTATATTAGCCTGAAAACACAGCATGATTTGTTCAGCTAGCATGTTATAGATGCTGTGTGCTCCTTCTGCAATGTATGGACTCTATACCAGTTCTGTAATGGTCTTAAGTTCAGTTATTAAATTAACTTCATGAGACAGTACCATTATAAGTTTGTGTTACTTATCATTTTCAGGAACATTCAGAAGACTTTGAGATGTTGTCCTTTTGGCTTTCCAATACATATTATTTTCTTAACTGTTTGAAGCAGTACAGTGGAGAAGAGGTAGGAATGATTTCATCAAATAATTTCACTACTTTACTTGTGACAGTCTTTAATTGGAATTAAAAATAGTGATAATAGATAGGTAATTATTCACCAGCTCACCACTGTTATTTCCAGATATTTAGTTATTCCTATTGCTCTGCAGTGTTGTTATGTCTTACACAAATAATAAGACAGTATAGAACTAACAGATCAAGTAAAATCAAGGAAACATTAAAGTGCTAAAGTAAGTTAAAGTCATGATGTGGAAACTGCTACTTAATTTGAACTCTTCCACGGGAGTTTAATGTGAGCTGGACTTCATATGTCCAGCTACATATACATAAAAAAACCCCCACAGTTTTACTATTTCATAATTGTGACCATTCAAACACCTATTGCTACCAATATGAGATTACAGAAGAAAACCTCAGGAAAGGGTTTTTTTTTTTCCTTATTTCACTTGCTTGTTTAACATAAGTTTTATTCTTAAATACAAAATTCTTTTACATTCTTTTAAATTGCAAACTCTTACTATATTTTATTGCTAGGTTTTGTAAACTTAGATGGACTGAACCGAGATTGCATAGGAAGAATATAGTCTTCAGGATTAAAGCAAAGAGGTTAAAAAGCCTCGGGATCACAGTGACTGTGTACTGTCTAAACAGCAATGCTCCCTCTCGTGGTCATATCGATAACATCTGAAGAGCAGTGGTGAACTGAAAACATTTAAACTTAAATTAGTAACGTTTTAATCTATATTTGTAATGGACATTCAAGACTTCACATAAGTTAGAATTCAGCCTAAACTTTTGAAGTCAGAACTTTCCTGATGAAAAGTCCAAAAATGAGATTCCTTTGCAGCAATTGAATACAATTTTTTTTCCAACATAGTTTAAAAAACACATTTTGTCTTTTTTTTGGTGTTGGGGTGTTTGCTTTCTGTTTAAGTGATATAGGAATTGCTCCAAAGTTCATTGGAATCTATGCTTGGTTTTAGCAAGCTTTAAGAACAGAGTAAATGTCAACGTGAACTGGAAAATTAAGTACAGGAAGCCCAGAACTGGAAGCATCCATTGAAGTTAGCTGTAGCTTTGACCCGTTCTGAGACTGTGTTCAGCCGGAGATGGAATGAGTTACTCTAATATATACATTATGTTATAGTAACAATTTATAATGTTATGTGATTTCTAATAATTATATTTACAACTTGTAGGAATTTATGAAGTATAACACTCCATGCCAGAATAAGAACTGTTTGAAGCATTTTGATCTCTCAGAATACAGGCAAATTCTTAGTGATTTGGCCATTCGCATCTATCACCAATTCATTACTGTAATGGAGAACAGCATTCAGCCCATGATCGGTAAGACAGCAGCAACCCAAACAGACTTAAATGTGGCTTGTGAAGTGTACGAATAAAGCTTATGCATGGAGGCAAAGGATGGGACAGACTTCTTTCTCCTGTTGATTCATACATACGTGTACCTGCGCATGTGTTTCTGCACGTATAAATTCCACTTGAATGGTATATCCTCACAGGGTTTGGAAAGACTTTTTCTTCACAGCATTTCCTGGTGTGGGATAATGCTTTGAAACTGATCAATGTTCTACAGAAACAAAAGGCTTTTTCAAATTTGTGTGCTCCAGAAGCCTTTGTCAGTATCTCATTTTTCTTGTATCATTTAACTTTTAAAATATCCTGAAAGTAGGTTTGGTTCAATAATTAAGTTAACATAGCTAGAAGGAGCCTTAGGAGTGTTCCTATTCTCAGTTATTTTCTGTTGTCTTTCAGTACCAGGCATGCTGGAATATGAAAGTCTTCAGGGAATTTCTGGCTTGAAACCTACAGGGTTCCGTAAACGTTCTTCTAGTATAGATGACACGGATACCTACACAATGACTTCTATCCTGCAACAGCTCAGCTATTTTTATAGCACTATGTGCCAGAATGGCTTGGACTCTGAGCTTCTAAAGCAGGCAGTGAAGCAGCTTTTCTTTCTGGTTGGCGCTATCACCCTCAATAGTCTCTTCCTCCGCAAGGACATGTGCTCTTGTAGAAAAGGAATGCAGATAAGGTAAAGCCAGTGAAGTTTCAACAAGCAGTTGCCTGAGAATGAATTTTTAACACTTGTTTAATGTCCTTTATTGCTCAGTCACTGGATAGTCTGTAACCATTCTGCTGGAAGTAGCTAATTGGTTTTTACTCTTTTTATAAAAATAGATATTTGCCTTTTGGGCTGAGTTTTCTCAACAAAACATATTACAAATTGTTCTTTACATGGAAACACTAATGGAGGAAAAGACAGAAAATTACAGCTTTGAGTTTAAAGTCAGACATGTTTAGGATTCTTTCCATGCTAGTTCACTCATGATGTGATGAATGGTATTTTTAATTCTTTCTTACTATAGTAAACAGATGCAGGGTCTCCTGGCTGGCAGACAGACAAAAGCTGACTTGCATTTTTCATGCACTGTGATGAGAAAGGCACTGAGACAGAGCCTTTGAGGGTTTAGGTTGGGCATCATCTATCTTGTTACGAGCATCAAGAGAACATGCTCCTAACTGTTTTGCAGAAGATGCAGTTCATTTTTCTCCATTAGACAGTCTACAGATGAAAGTGAAAGAAAATCAGTAAAATCTTGACCCATCTGGGAATATTACTAGAAGAAAGCTGCTTTAACCTTTAGGTCATCAGTTATAAGCCCAGCCCTGCTTTGTAATGTGCAAAGATTGTTCTAATTTCCTGTATGAGCTCAGTTGTAGATGAATATTTTGAAGACACATAGTGCTACAGTGTAATAGGCAATACCAGTATATATTAGTAATTTCCTGTAAACTACAGCTAAACTAATAACTTGCTTTCTATTATGCAAGCTTTAAGAAATAAAAAAATAGAAGGATTGAATATACAAGGGATTAAAGTTACAGATCAATACGCTATTTATTGTTTGATTTTTATGATCTACAGATATGGTTTTTAAGTTAAAATATATGAATTTGAACATTGCATTAGAGGAGCGTTCCTTCTTTAGAAGTCTTTAACGAAACTGGCTTGTTAGGGGGAACCTGACATTTCTGTTGTCTGTTCATGGTTTAACCCAGATGTAATATCAGCTACTTGGAAGAATGGCTTAAGGACAAGAATCTTCAAAGCAGCAATGCCAAAGAAACTTTGGAGCCTCTATCTCAAGCAGCCTGGCTACTTCAGGTCAAAAAGATCACAGATGATGATGCCAAGGAAATATGTGAACACTGCACATCTCTTTCTACTGTGCAGGTAATGAGCCATCTGTTTTCTTCTGGCAGCACCAATTGCAGAATCTTAGCTATCTAAAATAATTTGTTGCAAAGATCTATTGGCCTTTCATTTGATAAAAATAGCATTCCTCAGCATTCCATGCTACCACTTGTTAAACTGAGTTGTTTTAACTCCTTGGTCCTGATTGTTAGCATTTTAACTGCTCCCATGGTGAATACTTACCTGGTTTGTTCTATCCCATGTTTTTATTCCACCATGTATTTTCTTTACTTTGCCACAGTCTTCTTTTTTTTGTTGTTTCCCTTACTTGATTCAGCTTTTTCTACATCTCCTTGATCTTGCTGACACCTCTGGAAATGAGTCGTAGCAATCATCATATATGTAACAACTCATTAGATGACCAGTCAAAATTCTCTCTTTATTGTAAAATTCTGTACTGAAGCTTCCACTAAATATCAATGAAGATTTCCAATTAATGCTTTCTTCTTTCTGTCTTCTCATTTTTTTGTGATATACTAAAATAGTCTTTTGTAATTTGAACAGATAGTTAAGATCCTCAACTCATACACTCCGATAGATGACTTTGAGAAAAGAGTGACTCCATCATTTGTTCGTAAAGTCCAGGTAAGAGCGATAACTATTATTTCTCATACTCAAGCTACAGGATAGTTCATACACACAGCTTTCGATGCTACGTACTTATACTTGACCTTTACATCATATTATTACTAAGTTGCTCAGCTTCTAGACATTTGGAACTGATCAAAACAAGTGTCCTTAACATCATGTGAAAGAAAGATTTGCAATGGGAAACAAACAATGTACTGGTTTTGGTTTGATTCTTAATACAATATTTTCTTACCCTTTCTGTTATAATTTCAGGCTATGCTAAACAATCGTGAGGATGTTCCGCAGTTGATGCTCGATACCAAATATCTCTTTCAAGTGACGTTTCCTTTCACCCCCTCTCCACATGCCTTGGAAATGATACAAGTCCCCAGCAGCTTCAAACTTGGCTTTCTCACAAGGGTTTAATAAAGCCAATGCATTGGTATTTCCTCAGAGACTACATAAAGACAGGCAGACTTTCATGGTTCATTTTTCCAGCTGGTGGATAGTATGGCAGCTTGCATTGAATTAAACTGTTAAAAACCTGTTATTTAGTCAAGACTTAAAAAGTAGGAATAATTTCAGCCTGTGATTTTGTTCTCTTTTCTTACTTTTCTCCCTTTATTGCAGTCCTACAATGATGACTTCAGCTTTGTGTCCAGCTGATGAAATAACCATACAGTTTTTTAGCCCAAACCTGACAAGAAAAGCATTTATCAGGCAAGTTTGCATTGGTGCCCTGTCAGCATCAGTCAGAGGGGAAGGCTGCCATGTGATAAATGTTACTACTTTACCATTTTCCTTGCCTTCATGTCCTGTAACAAGAGATGTTTTCCCAAGGTAATTCTGTTTGTTGCCTTGATATATTGGGTCTGGTTAGAGCAGCTTTCACCTTTCTATACTTCATATACCTTTATTTCTTTCATAAAAGAAGTCTTAAAACAGTTCCTCCAGAAGACTGTAGCAGGAGGGAGGGGAAGGTCCTTCCACAATTGTTTAAAAAAAATCAATATAAATGGCTACATTGAAACTGGGGAACCAAGATCAGTCTTAAGAGAATTGCTGCTACAAACCCATATTGTCTTTTTGTAGGCATGCTGGCTTGGCTCACTGAATGCTTGCATTGCGGTTCAGGCACACCAGACAGCAATTCAGCCAGGGGAAGGACTTGGGTGCTCTTCCTGAAGAGAGATTTCAGTTTTGTTCTCTGCAGTGACAAGTCTGTATTTTCATATCAGTCATTATAGTAGAAAAGTCAGGTACAGAATTCATGTCATGAAACAGGTTTGAATTACAAGCTTGTTTCTCTAAAAAACAGGAGTCATCTCCTGTTTCGGTCCATCTCTAGTGCAGTGTATTTCAGAATATACACCAAGTATGCACACATGTGCACATCTTTCTCCCTTTCTTTTTTGCTGGTTTCCTTCTTCCAGTTCAGACACTGAGTAGGAATGAATGCAGCTGCTGTGGTCTGGTCTTACTAATAAACCAAGCTTGACTGCTTACATTTAATCTTTATTTCATGTCAGCTGCAGGATCCTTAGAAGCAGAAGTGGTCCTCTCTTTGCTTTGTTCAGCCTTCTCCCTGTACTCAGAATGCAACAAACAGTAACTTTATTTAGTGCTGGACCCTGTCAGAACAACTGGCATTCACCTCACCACAATGATGACTGTACTTAGAAACTCCTCAGTAAATAATGCTAGTTTTCTAGCTAGTCTGTTAGACATAATTATTAAAATTGAGTACTAAAGCTTTGAAATATTTAAGGCATTCTAATTAATTTAGTTAATTTAAATATTACAGGAAGGAACAATTGATGTGATTTTTTTTTTTATTACACAGTGTTAGTACTACTTGTTTAATTTCACAGAAAAATCTGTAAATATAAGAAAGAATCATTCTTGCTATTCAGTGTTCTTGGTGTTTGCTACATTCAGTGAAATATTCATTGTGATATCCACAGAGATGTATTCAAAATATATGAAGGAAAAAGATTGTGTTTTGTTCAATAACAATAAAAGCTGTACAAAATATCACAGACATGTAGGTAGGCTAGTATTTTAATCTGTTAAATAAAGTAGCTTTTAAATCAATTTGTAGTGCTTTGAGTGATGCAATAGTTGTGTTTGTAGTATGGGGTCGTTTGAAAGTTACTTGGAACTATATGAACATTAGTGAATACTGTCAGTCTTGTATTGCACCATAAACATTTATTTAATAGCCTGGTTGCTTTGCTATAACATTGTGTATCTTCCTGTCAGAATGGTATGCCGTCCTTGGCTCCTCAGGAATTTCTGTAAATATTTTAATGTAAGCAAGTTTGGTTGCTGTAATTTGTATATGGCCTTTTTTTACAGTTACTGGAGCTGTATGTCTGTTACCTGGGACAGTGTGAGTAAAATCACAGTCCGCTCTTACATCTACATCACACAAAAGTGTCAGAAGGCATGTACGTCTTTACGACAAAAATTGCTGACCAAGGAATGGCAATTTGATGCTAGGTTACTTTGAGAGGTTTGTGTGAAGTATGCTATTTACCCTGTGTGTGCAAACAACAAAATACATTTTTTAAAAAGAAAGTTCAAAATTATCAGTGTCTACTGTATGCTCTCAGAAAGTTACCTTGCTTTTGCTGATGTTAATGCCTTCAATCAGTGTGGAGGTACAAAGTTCTGTTTATCTGTAATTCTTCTAGATAGAAGGAGCAGTTTTACTGAAGGCAGATACATGAAAGAGGTATTACTGAGGTTAACTTTCCAAGAATGATAGTGAAGGAAAAAGTTATTCCATTCAAATGGGAACATGTGGAATAGTGATCCTTATTGCAGTGGGAAAGTACTGGAATGGCTTACGGAGTGATGCGTAAGATGCTGTTGGCATCTTTGGATGTGTTTACACATGTGACTCTTGCAGTTTCAGGGAATAGGACTCGGCAGCATAGGTGGTCCCTTTCAGGCCTGTGTTCCCATAATATTCTAATAAAAAATACTAGGATGGGTTACTTCTACCCAAGTCTCTGCTGGGCTCAGACCTAATTTTTTTTTTCTTTTTTTTTTTTCCCTCATTTTGCCTCAGATCCTCTTGACTGTCAAATGCAAACATCTAATGGCATAATTTCAGTGACTTCAATAGAGTTTCCATAGTAGATGTGACCTTCAGCATTTTAAAAAAATTTTAGATGGTTTTTCATAAATTTCCCCTAAATTTTAAAGAGTGCAAAAAAGGAGCAGTTTAATCTTATTGATTTTTAAATGTATTATCTTAAAACAGGTGAATAGTAAAAGAATATCCAAGGGAGAACCAGCATGGACACTAATCGATTTGTTTGACTGTTAAATTTCATTAAGAATGTGAGATAGACTTAATGTTGACAGTGGTATTTATCAGAATGTCAACTTGATAGCTGGAAAAATCGGATGTCAGCCACCTCCCCAGTGTGTTTAAACTTCAACATTCGGAAACAACCCAAAAATTGCTGCTATATGGAACAGGCAGGTAAGATCTAGTTTGCAGAATAGTTTATGTTCTTTATTCTATATTCTGAAAGAGGGTAGTTAAAATAAAACCTTTAAACTGTAGTCATCAGTACGTAACTGACCTGAGGTGATACAGCTGGAGAGGCTGAGCTTTAAATATCCTTTAAGTAGACTTAATAGGAAGGTTGCCTTTCTACGTTAGCAGTTGCACACGGCTTATTTAGTCATCTTGAGAGTCTCCAGGTTCTTGCTGTTTGAAAAGGTGGGTAATTTTGGATATTTATCAATGAGATTCATTATCCAGAATTTCTCTATAAGTAGCATGTTTCTTAATCTTTCACCATGCTACCATTTTTAAATTTCTACTGTAACTTCAGAAATGTAGTAAGTTTAAATTTTCAGGCTGCAGCACAAGAAGTTGTAATCTTTTTAGGCCTTTTTGGCTTAAATAGTTTATATCTTTACAAAATAGTATACAAATCCATCGTTATCACAAACAATCTCAGGTATAATGCTGCTTTTTAATTATTCAGAAGTTTTGTTGGCTTCTCTTGTAGCAAAATTTTGTAATATGGTGTAATCTCATCTGAAGTAAAATACTGATAGCAGGTATGATTTACCCTGTATGTTACTCCAGCAAATTCTCACACTTTATCAAAGATTAATTCTGCCCAGAGTATTTATTCCAAGCCTAATAGATCCTTGTCTAAAGTCTCTAGATCTAGTAATGATATTTTGTTCAAATAAGATGGCATCTTTCCCTGTAATACTTTCATTTTACTCTACTTCTAAAGTGAGTTTTCCTCCCATAGTCTAGTTGGCCTAGTGTCTTGAGGCTTCACACCAGGTATATAAATCTGTGATTATGTCACAGGGAACCACTAATTCTAAGAACCTCGGCATAACAGGTTATTCAGTTGGAAATGTCCAATTCTAAGAATCTAGTAGAACTAAGTCCTGGTGCTGTAGTCACTTTAAAGCTATGAGCAATAGCAGCACAGACAAGCTCCCTGAAAGGATGGCAGCTTCTGGTCTCAGGCTCATTGTCTGCATTAAAAACTTTAGGACATAATTGTTGCTTTTCATCTAATGGAACATAAACCTCCTTGACTGCAAGTAGCTGATTGAAAGCTCCATGCAAATTTCAGATTAATGCTCTGTAGTTCCTTTCAGGACAGATTGCTTCCCACCTGTCTGGGATGAAGTTATGCATCTCCTGGAGACAACAGCCCATTTCTATTGACTTGATAGTGGGCAGGATTTCTGAGTTTATCATCTCATTTTTCAAGTAGTCCACTGAAATACTTAAGAATAAGAAGCAGAATGCAGGCAGGTGCATAGAATAAAGTTTGGCTTGGTTTTCGTATAATGTCCAGCCAAACAAATTCTAAAATCTGCATGGCTCGTTGAATTTCTTTTGCTCCACTTAAATCTCTCTTGCAGTTGCTTCTTCTGTTTGTTAACCACAAACTCATTATTTATGTACATGTCTAAATAACGTTAAAAACTTTCATTTTAGAAGTGGTGGAAGGTCCCATTTTCCCTATAAAAAATGTACAGAGAAAAACGACACTACAGTACTATTCTTGTTTGCTTTTCTGACTCTCCAGTAGTTTTTAATTCTCTGTTGGTGGCAGTTCTTAATTCTCTGTTGGTGGCTTTTATCCTGGAGATGCCTAGCTTGAGAACAAAAGTGGGTTCATGATGACCCAGCTTTCAGTGTGCTTGAAGCATCAATTTCTGCTCAAACAGCACATTGTTCATAACATTTTTGTAGGACGCTGACAGAATTCTAGGTCATCTTTTCAGCTTTAAAAGTAACGCATAATATTGAGTATTTAATGATGCAGTGGAAAAACAATAAATATTGATCAGTGCTGATTTCTCACAAATCCAGCTGCTGTTATACATTTCTGGTTACTGTCTGCTGACAGTAGTTAAGTAAAAACTAAGAGTGATTTCCTGCATGTAGTGAATCCATGTGCATGGTCTACGTTATAACGATGTGTAATCAGTGTACATTATAACACTATATATATTTTGCTTTGTATTTTTCTTCATAAAAGTATAATCTGCAGAGCATGTGACTGTCTTGCATATAGTGACAGTTCATCAAGCTCGAGGGATTAGTCACAGAGAGAGATTATCCAGCCTACAGATGTCTATGTGCAGTCTAAGCTGCATTAGCTAGCAGGGCAGTGGTGGGAAGCTCTGCGCTGGACTCGAATGCA